TTCTTCCCTCCCTCCCTTCCCCTCTCGTCTGAAATCAATACGCATATGCTTGGGTAAGGATTAAAAGGAAAGAAAGGACAAGATCCAGATTAATGGGATTCTGATTCTGAAGCATAATTCTCCATGAATTAAATCTCCAAGTATTAATTTATTTTAGTTATGATAAACATAACAGTTAGAGATGTTGAGATTTTGTGCTACATCACATGAAATTAACATTTCCTTAAGGTTTATACTTAAGATTTAGACTATTAGCTCCAGGAGAGAAGGAACTTTTTTCTGTTTTGGTAACTGTTATGTACTCAGTGCCTAAAACTGCCTGCAATAGACTCAAAATATTTCATTGAATGAATATTAATAATGTTAATGTGCTATTTCCTTCCTTATACCTGCAAGATAACTAAAGAATAAGGTATAAAAATTACTGCTCAATATCACTAATCATCAGGAAAATATGAATCAAAATCACAGGAGATAATCGCCTCACACCTGTGAGAATGGCTATCATCAAGAAGGCAAGAGATAATGGGAGCTGGAGAGGATATGGTGAAAAAGGGAACCTTTATGCAGAAGGGTTTGAACAAGATATATGCACTCTCATGCTTATCGTAGCATTATTCACAATAGCCAAGATACAGAGACAACCCAAACGCCCATCAATGAATGAACAGAAAAAGAAGTGGTGCTCAACACAACAGAATGTTATTCAGCCACGAGAAAGAAAGATATCCTCCCATTTGCGAAAACATGAATGGACCCTGACATATTATGCTAAGTGAGATAAGTCAGACAGAGAAACACAAGTACTGTATAATATCCCTTACATGTGAAATCTAAAAAAGTTAAACGTATAAAAAAAGAGAAAGTAAAATGGTGGTTAGCAGGGAATTGGGGGAAGAATGATAGATAAGACTGATGGTTTTTAAGACTTGTAAAACCAGAGTTGTAATGAGTAATAAGCAATCCATAGAGATCCACTGCACAGTATAATGAATATAGACAGTAACAGTACTCTAATGTGATAAATATCACTACACTGCCAATCATAGTACAACAGAT